GATGCTCTGTCATGCACCCAGGCCGCTAATCCTGTGCAAAAAATACCACAAAGAGCACACTCGCGCGTTCATGTCAGAATCCTACCGAACACCGTGTGTTTGCAAGCATTTCAACATAAAAACATCAAAAACCCATTGCTTTTTCACAAAAATGCTTTGGGGTGTCCTGTCAGACCGTCAAAAACCCAAGGCTTTTTCACAAAAATGCTTTGGGGTGTCCTGTCAGACCGTCGGGCTTCCTCCGGCCACCTCTGGCTTCCTGCGGTGTACCGGGCCATTCTCGACTCGTCTGGCAATGCGTGCGCGGCATTCAACACGCGCTCGCCAGTTCCCGTCGGCAACCGCCATCGCGGCCGCATCAGCTGTACCAAACCGGCTGGCCGGTGTGACTTCGGCCCCCAGTTGTGCCAGCTTTGCTTCTTATGTTGTGGGAGGGCGGGTGGGACTGGGCATGCCATGCTTGACTCGCTCGAGCTGGCTAGCTTGACTCCTACTCCTACTCCTGCTCCTGCTCCTGCTCCTGCTCCTATCCTTATTCCTTATTAGAATATACTCCTACTCCCCCCTCAGGCCGGCCGATAGGGGCCGCATCCGGGTGGTCCCATCCTAACCTGTAAAAAACAATACAAAATCAACATGTTCTTATTTTTTCCTCTCGACATGCACGGCGATAATCCTACCGAACACCGTGTGTTTGCAAGCATTTCAACATAAAAACATCAAAAACCCAATGCTTTTTCACAAAAATTGTACAAATTTCCCGCCCGGGCTCTCTTGCTGAAATCATAGGAAAACCATAGGAATCTTAAGAATTCGGTCAAATCCAGCGATTTCACGTCATCGCGCGGTGCACTCGCGATGCTCTGTCATGCACCCAGGCCGCGAATCCTGTGCAAAAAATACCACAAAGAGCACACTCGCGCGTTCATGTCAGAATCCTACCGAACACCGTGTGTTTGCAAGCATTTCAACATAAAAACATCAAAAACCCAATGCTTTTTCACAAAAATGCTTTGGGGTGTCCTGTCAGACCGTCGGGCTTCCTCCGGCCACCTCTGGCTTCCTGCGGTGTACCGGGCCATTCTCGACTCGTCTGGCAATGCGTGCGCGGCATTCAACACGCGCTCGCCAGTGCCCGTCGGCAACCGCCATCGCGGCCGCATCAGCTGTACCAAACCGGCTGGCCGGTGTGACTTCGGCCCCCAGTTGTGCCAGCTTTGCTTCTTATGTTGTGGGAGGGCGGGTGGGACTGGGCATGCCATGCTTGACTCGCTCGAGCTGGCTAGCTTGACTCCTACTCCTACTCCTACTCCTACTCCCTCCGTCCTCCTCCTCCTCCTCCTCCTCCTCCTCCTCCTCCTCCTCCTCCTCCTCCTCCTCCTCCTCCTCCTCCTCCTCCTCTCCTCCCCCCTCCTCCTCCTCCTCCTCCTCCTCCCCTCCTCCTCCTCCTCCTCCTCCTCCTCTCCTCCTCCTCCCCTCCCCCTCCTCCTCCTCCTCCTCCTCCCCTTCCTCCTCCTTCTCCTCCTCCTCCTCCTCCTCCTCCTCCTCCTCCCTCCTCCTCCTCCTCCTCCTCCCCTCCTCCTCCTCCCCCCCCTCCTCCTCCTCCTCCTCCTCCTCCTCCTCCTCTCTCCTCCTCTCCTCCTCTCACTCCTCCTCCTCCCTCCTGCTCCTCCTCCTCCTCCTCCTCCTCCTCCTCCTCTCCTCCACCTCCTCCTCCTCCTCCTCCTCCTCCTCCTCCCGCCTCCTCCTCCTCCTCCTCCTCCTCCTCCTCCTCCTCCTCCTCCTCCTGGGGCGCAAATCATGGCCGGCGGCACCACGTACGCGGCCCATGGGGGGGGGCCGGGGACGCAAGGAAAGAAGAGGCGGCGCCAAGAGATCTGGGGAGATGCAGTAGCCCCTGCCATGAGATCGAACCCCCTCCCCCAGTCCTCCCCGTCCCCCCTCCCCTGGCCGCCCCCGAGTCCTCGGAGTCGCGCCGCCCCAGGCTGGTGGCCTTGTCGTCGTGGGAGTCGCACGGCGGCTCGCCGGGAGCGCAGCCGCCCAGCGTCGACGGGCGCAGGTCACGCGCGGCGAGAGACAGCTTTCCCCGCGGCTCCGGCAGAGCCATCCACACGGGCTCCACCAGCTTGGCCCAGCGCGGCATGGCAGAGAGGCTCGGCTCGGGTGCGGCTAGAAGTGTCCCTGGCCCAGGGTGCTCCCAGGATGTCCAAGGAGGCCCCCACGGCCTCCAGAGCACCACTCACGAGGCCCAGGAAGGGGACCAGGGACTCCAGAATAGAGCGAAGAGCTGGGGGGCACATTGGGCCAGGGACACTCTTGGCAGCCCCCGATCGGCAGGGGGCGGCGGGGGAGTCAAAGCGTGGCGCGGTGGAGGCTCGGGTAACGCGAGCCCCGGAGCCCCCAGCGCGGAGGCGGATCCTATACCTGCGGCTGGCCCCCAGGAGGCTCCCGAGAGGCCCCAAGATTCCTCCCCGGAGGCCCCCGAGATCTTCCGAAGAGACCACAAGAACGATCCCTGAGGACTCCGGCCCACGTCAGCGTCGTCGTCGTTGCCACCGCCGCCGCCGCCGCCGTTGTCGTCGTCGTCTCCCTTCAGGATCGGCGGCACAGGCAGTAAGGCCTTCGCACTCTCCTCGGTCCGCAGGCGTGGAGGCAGACCCTGCCTGCGCCTGGTGCCTGCCGCGGCGGAGTCGGCGCGGGGGTCCTCGGGCACCGCTCAGGCCGCTCGGTCATGGACGTTCGTGGCTCGGCGGCGAGCCCAGGGGGCAGTGGGAAAGGGCAGGTCTTCTCAGAAGGCTCGGGAGTCCCGCGGCCTGCTGAGGAGTTTCCCTAGCCTGCCGCGAAGACAGGGAGACCTCTCAAAAGGCCGCAGGGGTCCTGAGGAGCCCCGCCGCCTTCTGAGAAGGCCTTGTCCTTCTCACCTCCACCTGACGATCGCCGCCGAGTGGCTGGTGAACGAATTCCTAGTGAGCATTTCGACACTGGGCGGGAGGGGGGAGGGGCAGACCTCTGCTGAGCGCGACTGTTCGCAACAGTGCGCCCGATGGGGGAGGCTCCACCTGCTCCTCGTGGGGGCGGGGGAGGGAGGGGGCGAGGGCCCGCGCCGATCGGCAAAACGAGGAACCCAAAAGCGACGACCTGCCCACCACCAGCCCCAGACCCCCGACGTCTCGATTCCTCCGACACGCGGGGCCCCGACCTCCCGACCACCTCTCAGGGACCGGCTGTTCCTCCCGAGCCGTCTCTTGACGGCCCCAGGGCCCGGCGAGGGCCCCGAGGGGCCGAGAACTACGCGAAAAAGAGTCCCACCAGCCCTCTGGGCGTCGGTGGTTTAGGGCGTTTCCTCTTCCACCCCTCCCTCGTCCCCTTCGGGGAGGGGTTTATCCCTCCCCCTACCCCCTCCCCACTGACCTGGACAGGAGGGGCGGGGAGCGGTCAGAGCGTCCAAAACGGCCTCGGCGAGGAAGCCAAAATCATTGATTTCACTATGGTTTTGGCCCCATTTTGGCCTTCTGAGGGGGCAGCGCTAATTAGAGCTCCCCTCTTCTTTGATCGATTTCCTCCACGATGGCCGCAAGAGGCCCCCAGGATGCCCCAAGAGGCCGCAGGATGGCCCCAAGATGGCCCCAAGAGGCCCCCCAAGAGGCCCCCAGGAGGCCCCCAAGAGACCCCCAAGAGGCCCCAAGAGACCCCCCAGAGGCACCCAAGGGGCAAAGATGGCCCCAAGAAGCGCCCAGGAGGCCCCCAAAGGCCCCAAGATGGCCCCAAGAGGCCCCAAGAGGCCCCAAGAGGCCCCAAAGAGGATCCCGAACGGCCCACAGAGGCCCCCCCGAGGCACCCAAGACGCCGAAAAGCCCCTCAGGACGACCCTCTACTCGCCTGGGCGTCGTTTCTGGACGGGCTGGTGGGGATACTTTTTTTTTCCAGCCGGCTCAAGGCCCCTGTGCATTCAGATTTCACGTCTGTGCTCGCCCCCAGTGCCTGCCAAGGCTGGGCGAGTACGCTTTCTGGCACCTCCCCACCGTGGCGCCGTGTCCATGGGCTCGAGTGATGTGTTGTTGGGGCCGCGGAAGCCGCTGTGGGCTTGCACGAAATGCCACCGCTCGGGCAACTGGGCGTCTCGCATCAAGTGTGCTTGCGGCATGGCAGCTCCACCAGCGGTCCAGAAGAGTGCGAAGTCCGCCCATGAGCAGGTGGTCGCGGGCGGTGCCAACAAGGGGTCGCAGCCGAAGGGTCAGTGGAGTTCGGGAAGTCCTCTCGACGCCACGCTCAAGAAGATCTTGGGGAGGCTCGAGGGCCTTGAGAAGAAGTCGGCGCCGTACACTGCATCGGCTCCTCCCCCGCCGTGGAGAGCTGAAGGTGACAGCTCTGGCGCCACGGCCCTGCCCGATGACCAGAAGGAGGCCAAGGAGCGCTTGGCACACTGGCAGAGGGCGGCTCGTACCTCAGTACACCAGGAGGACAGGATGCTGGCAGAGGAGATGGCAGCCAAGATTCATAAGGCCATCAACGAGGCGAAGCCAGCACACGTCCAGCAGCACAGCATCTCCACCAGGCTTGAGCGCGCGAGGTCCACGGCAGCCTCGCTCGAGACCAAGCTGGCGACGGTCACGAAGGAGGTGGAGGACGCGCGCAAGATGCTCGAGGAGCGCCTCAAGAGCGCCAGGGAGGCCCTGGTGGAGTCGCAGCGGCAGGTGGCGGCCCTCGAGCAGGAGGCTAAAGAGTGCTTCGCCAAGTCCCTTGCCAAGTCGGATGGGCCCGTCCTCAAGCTGGAGGAGCAGCAGCTGGGGTCGGCATCGGTGGAGTTTCGTGAATGGTTTCGGGCGCAGAAACGTGACGAGCAGGGAGCCAAGCACCTCGAGGTCTTGTTCGGCATGCTTGAAGCCCAAGCGGTTGCTGCTCGTAATGGTGTTTCTCCTCCTCCTGCTGTGCCTTGCGATGTTGATGACATGGAGATCGATGAGGATGACGAGCAGTCCTTCGCAGAGGAGCGTCAAGCCAAGGAGCGAGCGGCAGCAGCTCCAGAGGATGGAGTTGAGGCTGCGCGCGAGGTTCTCCGAGAGGCTAGGCGTAAGTTGCAGTTGCAGCTCCAGGCGGCAGCAGCCAAGAGACAGAAACGTGGGTAACATGTTCCCGTGCTGCCTGGAGGGCTACGTCACCGAGCGCATCGGGGATCAGGCCGCTGCGTTGCTTTGCTCAAGGCATGCGTGGCCTGAAGCAGGGATTGATGTGCAGGAATCGTCTGCCGCACCTGCTACACCGCCAGCTTTGTCGACCTTGGCACTTTCCTCTGCTGGAGCGAATCCCTCCCCGAGCTGCACCAGGATCAGGAAGGGCAAGAAATCCAGTGTTAGGAGAGGTCGTTGGGTGCTGTTCTCCTGTAATGCCAATTCTTGGGTTTCTTGGGAGACTATCCTGGACTGGCGGATGGAAGATGTTAGGGGCCCACGGCCTCAGTTCTGGGCTGGGCAGGAGACTCGTGTTTTGGAGGCGTCTCAGATCGCTAAGTTCAAGGGCTTGATGAGGTTGAAGGGCCTCAACATCGACTTCTGCCCCGCTGTATCCACAGGAGCTGGTACTTTGGAGACCTCTGCAGGTGTGATGGCTGGAGGCCTGTCGCACAGCAACCAGTGTACTGTATCAGTGGAGAGTCTGAAGTCCGTACCAGAAGCACAGGGTCGAGTGATAGCTAGGCATGTTAATGGGGTGGTTCCAGGAGGTTGCATTTGGCTGTCGGTATACTTCTACCACTCCCAGGGAGTCAGCAGGGACAACGTTGGCCTCCTGGCGGGGCTTGGCAAGTACCTTGGGAGCCTAGCTGCGCCTTGGATCCTGGGATGCGATGCTAACATGGGGCCCCAGACCTCTAGATTGATTTCTTGGTGCGCTGAGCTAGGGGCTACTGTTGTGGCTCCAACGACGACGACCTGTGCTGCTGATAAGGGACAGGTATATGACTACTTTATTTTATCAGCAGGGCTATGCACGTGCGTAGAGAAGGTGCAGGTTTGGCATGATGCCCCAGTTTCGCCCCATTCCCCAATTGAAATATCGCTGGTGGGTGTGTCACTGAATATCCCCATCCATGTTCGTTGTGTCTGGAAACGGTTGCCTACCCAAAAGCCCACGGGATGTGAAATGGAGCCTGTTGATTACAACTGGTCGTGGCATGCTGGGGACACGGGGGACTTGGAGCTTATGCAAGTGTGGGATCAGTGGATTGAGTTTACTGAACTGGAGCTTTGCAGAGTTTTTTGATATCCATGGGGCTGAGCAGGACATTTATGTTGGACGTTCTTCAGGTTTCAGGAGAATGCAGGTTTCCCTGGACACGATAGTCAAAAAGAAATGGTTTGCTAACACCACTGCCCAGCTCAGATCTTGGCGCACACTAGTGCCGTTACTGGTCAAAGCGACGGCCTGCCTGGACGACCTGTCCAACTCCGCGCATTGGCAGACGCTGCGCTTTTCCATCCTGAAGCTGGACCAGAAGTCTCTTGGTCCTAAGTTTTTGCGCCTTGCCCCTAGCCTGCCCCAGCTGATTGGGATCATCGAAGAATCTGGAGGGTCCGATCTGGGGCTCCTCATGCCCACTGCGCAATCCACGTATGAACACATGTTCAGGGATCACTGTAGCAGGAGGTGGGCTAGGTGGAGATCTTGGGCTCAGGAGGCAGTAACTAAGGGCGGCAAGGCGGCACATGCTTTTTCTAAGGAGCGTCCACCTGCAGTTGGCCCGCTATCTCCACATGGCTGGGCGCTGCAAGGGGACCAAGCCGTTGAGGCCTTGAGGAAAGAGTGGAGCCAGTATTGGTGCTGCCATCAGTGCCCGCTCACTGCGCAGCACCACCGTCGCGCAGACGAAGCCCCCCCCCTCTTCCTCGGCCAGAAGTTGAAATGCTGAAATGGGCTCTCAGTAAGTTCAAACACGACACGGGTTTAGGAGTGGACTGTATGAACCCTAGGTGTTGGTTACTGTTGCCCAGGGACTTCTTGGAGCGTTTGATCGACCTGATGATGTTATGTGAGAAAAAGCCTTCTCTCCCAAGGAAATATGCTACCCAAATCATCTTCCAGGGCAAACCCGATGGTGCTGGATTGCGCCCGTTGGCCTTGATTGTCAGCGTGTTAAGGGCTTGGGCCAAAGTTCGGCAGGTG